GTTGATTACTTTGCTGGTGCTCTACAAAGTGCTTTGAAAACATTCTCAAATCCACCAGCCATTGTTATCAAATCAGTATAAGTTGCAACTAGAAAAGAAAACAAAGGAATTATTTCATTGAACTAATCAGAAAAGAATAAGGTAATAATGTAAAATATCACGTTTGAGAATAATAGGTGATAATATGCAATCTGAGCCAAAGTTAGTCTCAAGCCTCAATGATATGGAACTTTTTAGAAGGAAAGTTTTGTATCTTGATTATCGGAGACCCTGTCATCCTTATGTGGAACAAATGTAGTCATGAGTGATCAAATTTCTCAGTGTTGTCACTTGTCACTTACTTTTACATCACTTTTTCGTTATCTAAAGTGACGAGATAGAATGAAAACAGACAGAATTAACATCATATATGGCACACAAAATTACTTTCAATTAGATACATTTTGAAGCATAAAATTTGAAGGGATAAAATTCAAAACTGCTATATCTATTAGCAAGGATAGAAATATGCTAGATTGGGAATATAACTGAGAAAACAGTTTCATTCTAGGTGATTAGGTAATGTGTTGGTAAGTCATTCCATGCATTAGCTTAGAATGTGTCTAAGAATACATCGTCTACATGTCAACTCGTCAACAAAATTTTGTCAGAGAACTTGTTTACAAAATTTAACTCATCTACAATATTTACTGAGTTAACTCATCGACAAAAGTAATATAAAAGTAAGCGTATTTATATACAAGAACTACCTTCAGTATAAAAGAGTTCTTTACATGGGGAGGTAATAATGAAAGCATTTTGAAAATTTAATCATTTATTCATTCAGATCTATGTTACATTTCATTTAACATACTACTCACACATATATATATTTGCACCAAATTACAATGCAACAATAAGGCCGATATCCTTTGTAGAGGGTTTATTGACATCTGCCCACTATCATAAGATGCCCAAATCACCATTATCTGAGCTTATTTTGAAATATTTTCATTGCAGCCTCTTTGTGCAGAAGAGGAATAAGCATGAACAACTGTAGGGAGCCTCTCTTGGCTCGTTGATTTAGCTCAGGTATGCCATCCTTCACCATCATTATTCCTGTGGATAGAATGTCTTACCCGACCAATCGTTTATACCATATTAAGTTTGTCATCCACGTTGATTCTATATATGCAATAAAGGTAACAATTTTATCAGAAGTTGAATAGAGATTTCTCAATGGATGTTCTGTAGGAAGTTATGGCAATGTGAGCACATTTCTTACTATTCTAAAAATGCCATCTCTCTTATAATAAGACGCCTTTAACTCAAGAACTTGGACTTTACTGAAGATAACTTGGGCACAGTTAAAACCACAGTCCCCTGATTAGGAAATACTGGACGAAAACCTTTCCAAATTCCATGTTGTATTCACTCTTTCACAGCATCAAACACTATAATAAAAAAAATAATAAATAGTAATAATACATACATAATATAAGCTTATATCAACTGGTTATATCAATTGTAAATTGAAGTATATCACTGAAAAAACCATGGATCGCAAATGATTACTTATACGGTTTGTGGTGGCCAACAGCAAATGTCCAGTATTACCAACTTGGATATCCTAACGGAATAAACCTTCTGGCAACAAATCTATCTTCAGCTGAAAAGCTAGCTTGCCAGACAAGGTAATATACGCCCAATCACAGTTTTGATTTTAAATTATTATTTGGCAGTACAGCAACAAGTAAGAAATATTCAATCTTCAATCATACACTTATTTTTAATTTTTCAGGGTGATACTGAATAATATTACCATGTTGTCAAAATCCGGCATGTATCTGACCCTTTAACTGTTTATGAACTAAAAAGTGAATGTATTTTCAAGATTGAGATCAATAACTTTTTTATTTTAAAAAGGTTCATCCATGGGTGATAATGAACAAAACAAGTAAGTTTCGTAAAATGGGGTATTCAGCTTTTTTGTAAAACATTTTCACTATCAAAATCGTCATAAATTATACCTGAAAATATATATCGAAAGTATGCTATTCATATCTATGTATCTTCTTGATCAAATTGAATTTGTTTTAAAAGGATTAATTAAAAATGGAGAGTTCTAATTGTTATTAAGCAGTTTGATCTTGTTTTAGTGTTTGGTTTTATAATTGCTTGTTAAAACCTTTCAAAAACTTTAAAACCAGGTACGTAATGTTTTTAAATATTTTAGGCGTTTTAAAATAAACGAAGGGATTCTTTAAGTTAAATAATATAATTTAAAATAAAAATATTTTTTTTTATTTTATTATTTTAAGTATTAAAAAATTAAATTAAGAATTATGCCTTCTAGCGTGTTTACAAACAATTGTGGATGGACCGATGGACGGACGGATATAGGGGACGACAATATACACTTCCCATTTCAGGTGGACTTATAAAAATCATAAATAAATATAATAAGAAATATTTAAAATTGAAAGAAATTATACTTTGGATTGCAGCTTCAATCATTAAAAATTACTATACATATACATACATGCTATATAAAATGATATAATTAAAAGACTTACTCTTCTGGTTGACTGGTTCTATTGATGCAACAGGTTATGTACCTAACTTGTCTAATGTAGAATGAATATTTTTATCTTCTGTTACATTCGGCCCAAAAAATAATATTCTTTCACGACAAACTCGGACTACTTTATTGTTCACTTATTAATACTACTCAAACAATGATTAGTCATTAGTTTTCACTTTGATTTGAATTTATAAGATCAAGAGTACTAATTGTAGATTAATTAATGAAAGTATACTAAAGAATTACTATCTGGTAATTAATGTTAACAATGCCCAAGCTCACATTTATTGTAAAAGAGAAAGAAAAAACTGCATATTGGTCATCATTAGCAATTCGTAATTATTTTAAATTACCAAATAACGTTTAATTATATAGAATGTAACTTGATCATTCATGAACGTCAAGAGGCCATACAGTGTATGCTATCTGAGAATTGGCAGCACAGGATATATGGAACCAGTATATCCCATCACCAATACTGAAGTCAAATCATGGTTGGTTGGTAGATGACAAGTTAACGTTCGCTTCCAGCGGATGCTGATATCGCAAACTAGTCAAACCATTCCAGTGTAAGGCTTATACACCACCTCTACCGTCAGCTGAGAGTACCAGAATATCGCTACCTTTACCACAACCGGAATCTGATGATGTGCAATCTAAAGGCTTGGCGTTCCTTTTCATGACCGCTGAAACAGTCCTTTTTAAAACTCATATAAATGGTCCTTTCCAGGGCCACCAAACTCTCATAAAAGAGGGATTAAGTATTTCAACTATTATATTCAAATAAAGTACAACATATCAAACGAAGGACCATCCAATGTCTTTGGGCCACGTGTATCATGAGAAGTGGGCTGAGTTTGATGTGCAAGATCATCATTTTTTAGGCCTATTCTCAGAAAAAGTGGGTTGAGTTTGTTGTGAAAGATAATCATTGTTTGGGGTGGAGTAAAAAAAAGTGGGGGGCCTAGCATGTTATGAAAAGTGGTCCGACTTTGCAGTGTCGTTGTTCCGAGTTGTCTTGTATTTGTTTGATTAGATGAAAGTCATCACTATTCATATAAATTAAGTAAAACAAAAAATATTTTCAAAAGAAAATCTCTATTTCAATATGTTTTTTTTAGCCGAGTCATTTCTTGGTTTGTAGACAAGGCTACTGAATGTTTTAGACAAGTTAGTACAGTTTGTGGACGAGTTTACTGCAGATGATTTGACTAACCACCATGTCTAAAGCGATAGTTACTAAATTTGATACCGGTATTAAATGTTGAATTACTAAAAATATTGTCAATCAGATTAACCAATAGCTTTGACATAGTTTTAGAGAAATTATTTTCAGAAGCCACATGAATTTTAAAGTCACACATAATTATGTGCCCATCATCTTATTCGTACTGTCACAAAATGTATCATAAGCAAATGTATCATAAGCAAATGGGGCATGGAGAGGAAGATCAGTCAAGAATTTGTTGAAAAACAGTGTTGGATAAAGTCAATATCAATGGCCACCATTTGTGACAATTAACGGGACATAACCTTCCTAGTAGCTACCCCATGGATCTTAAAAAAGCAGACATGAACGATGTCAAGTTCATGATAATTAAGACGATTGAAGAGGTCTTTAAACTGATTCCTTGTTTACCTTTACGTCAGGAGCCGTAGGCTGCCAGGGACAGAAACTCGTTAGGTAATACTTCAAGAAAATTAAGCAATTCGCCGTCATTTCTTACAAATATTGAAATCAAAGAGTTAAGTAAAACACAAACCTTATTGCATATACATAGCTTTTGCTTTTAAAATGTCAACAGGGCCCATCTTATTTGAAATTTTGAATAGAAAATAAAATTATCACTCGAAGCAATTTTTTCTCTTCTCAAACGCCATCTAGTGCGAAACAAGGCTTCCGGTTATTCACGCGAGTGCGACACGAGTTGTCTCGAACACAAATTAATCCGAAAAATAGGCCATAATATAAAATTCAATACTCAAGTGAATGATATAAATATATAAAAAATCCAACTTCAATGTAGATAAGAAAAAATTGACAGCTTATTCATGCAGTTGTATATAATTCAAGTTATTTAAGACTTTAAGTTAGTCCGAAACTTTCTAAGAGGATGTCTGCATAATATAGTACCTGTTATTTATGGTAAGCCAAAACACACATATTGACCATATTTCTATGTATAGACTATATATTACTACTTTCGAATTTTAGTACAGTTCATCTGATTATGTGCCGTTGTAGGCTCTGATGCCAATGGGTTTTCTAAAGCGTAGTCTTCGGCCCAGAACTATTTAGAATTTTCCGAATTCAGATCTGGATCCGGCATGTTATGTATCTTAGCCATCTAAATTCTTTTTAAAATTGGACTTGATCACGTAATAATCTTTTTAAGCCTTTTTTTTTTCATTTTAAACCACCTGCATACTTACTTGGCCCCTATCACTTCAGCTATTCCTACTTTTGTTCTTTCTAGAAACGCTAAATTAGCATATATA